AATATTATAATAGGCACTAAATTATAATTTACTGCTCTAGACATCCATTTTGATACATAGCCCACTTACAAGAAAATTAGGGGAAGCAGATTTCAAGCCATTTACCTGGCTGGATCCAACCCCAAGCTGAGTCCCCAGCAAAATCCTAAATGACCATGAGCTCCAGGGGCATTTAGTGGTGTGGGACATGTCACTGACCATGTCAGGTCATGTGCCATGGTGGCAGCAATGTGACCTCACCAGGACACTGCATTCTCAGGGAATCAGCAATTCTGCTTTCAGTGTTTTATTTGCTCCCTGACAAAATACTGGGGTATGAATCCATCTGGAGTGGGCAACAGCATTAATCCAGGAAGAGAGCTTGTGCAGTAAGGAACCCTCACTGTCCCCATCGCCAACCTCAGCCTCTGCCAGTCCCTCCTAGGGAGCCATTTCCCTTCCTTTTGTGGTGGTGGTTGCAGGAATTTATTTATCCATCAATTAACAGGTAGGTTTGGCACTGACAGCTATTGGGGCCTGTGTTTGAGCAGAAACTGAGTCCCAGAGTGGTTTGGGTTGGGAGGGACTTTAAGCTCATCTTGTTTCACCCTGCCATGGGCAGGGACAGCTTCCACAATCCCAGGATGATCCAAGCCCCATCCAACCTGGCCTTGGACAGGGATGGTGCAGCCACAGCTGCTCTGGGACACCAGTGCCAGGGACTCCCCACCCTCACAGGGAAGAAATCAGATCCCAGGCATTGTATAATACAGAAACAATGAAGGAGGATTTCTTTGGGGTCTTTATTGAGAAATATGAGAAAAGTCTGGTAAAGAATCATGGGGGTCAGAGTGATCTTCACTGCACATGATAGGCATGTGTGGATGAAATAATTCTATTGCATGTCCTGGCCAGAATGAAGGGATGCCTGCTTCTCTGACACTGAAAGATGTTGCTGGAGAGTTTCTGTTTTTCCTGCAGTTTTGGTGACACACAGACTCCAATGCCATGCTCATGGGTTGCACCCAAAGACTGCCCTCTTGGGAACAGAGCCAGAGACCTCCATCTTGTTTTACTGCTACAGAAACATAAATAAAAGAAAATAAAAAAGGAAAAAGAAAAACTAATTAAAAAGGAAAAATATAAACTCTCTCTCTGCTTCTCCCTTCTGAAGGGGGTGGGGGGGGTGTGTCTCCATTCTCCTCTTCCCTAGGGGCATCTGGGTGGTCTCCATTCTCAACTGCCCTATGGGAGACCAGGGAGCCTTTGTACACTCTCCCCTTTCAGGTGGTTTGGGGATCTCTATCCCCTCCATTTGTCCTTAATTTTGGCCACAGCATCCTGGGATCCATGGATAGGGAGTTGGCAGCTCCAGGACACTTGCTGCTGGAACATTTGCACCTGGGAGCATCTTGGAGAGGGCTGGGCTCCCCTTTTTACTTCCAGGCATCCTGGCCATCTGCATCCTCAGGAATGAGCAACTTCTGCAGACAGCCGTGGCTCTGAAGGAGCAGGCAGTCCTGTCCAAAGGGCTTCCTCCATCTCTAGTCCAGCAGCTCTCAGGAAGGCACTGGGAGTGGTGGAGAATCTCATAATGAGTAACCCAATTGTGGAGATCTTCCTCTTGTCCTGCTCCTCCCTTGCCTGCTCAAGAGCATGAGCTGGACATGGGAGCACATGCCTTTGCGGCTGAAGGATCTAATCCAGCACAACACCAAGGCCCTACTCCTATGGCACAGCAGAATTTTCCTCAGAGCCATTGACTGGAAATTGGCAGCAAAAGGATATTTCTTCCATGGACATATTCTTCTAGGATTGCTGTACTCCCAAGGGCTAGGTTCACTTTGCTTTCAGGCGTTTCCTGGCCATCTCCATGCTCAGGGAACAGCAAGTCTTCCTGGCAATGGTGCCTGGAGGGAGCAGGCAGCCCTGCCCTAAGGGCTTCCTAGGTCTGCATACTGACAGAAAAACCTCACTACATGGAGGAGAGGCATCAAAGCCTTGACAAGGGCTGGAGGGAACACTCTGATTACCCCTTTTGGCCACCGCCTTGCAGCCGTCGAGCTGGCGAGCGGCACGGCGGGGCCAGGGCAGCGCGCACAGGCGGCTGCAGGAGTTCTGCTGCAGCGGGGCACGACGGCACCGTCGCTGTCCCCGGCCTCCTGCGCTGGACCCTGCTCTGGTGCAAGGCCGGGGCTGCAGCCCGAGGTGTGGCACAGGGGGGTCCCAGGAGCAGCTGCAAACCACACAGGGGTTTTTTGAAGCCGTGCCATCAGAGGCACTGAGAACAGCCAGGGATTAGGCTGCTCTCAGAGGCCCTGGCCTGGCCTGGCCTGGCCTGGGAATGCCCCTCACGAGCCCCGTGGGAGCCGCAGACGGCTCCTCAGAAGATCTCACCTTCTACTGGGGCCTTCCTGCTAGTCGGTGGCTGTCTCGGAGCAGCTTCCTGCATGTGGAGGTCTCCGGGTGTGCCGAGGATCATCTCCTCCACCAGGCACGGGCTGTTGCCCACTGGCACAGCCGGCACAGCGTCCTGGGAGCTGTGGGCCGGCAAGTGCCAGCTGCAGGACACTTGCTGCTCCGCCACCTGCTCCTGAGATGGCTCCCCTGCATCGGGCTGGGCTCCCACTTGGACTTGCGGGCTTTCCCTGGCCACGTCAACGCTCAGGGTTGCGCCCCTCTTGTTCAAGTCCATGGGTCCAAGGGAGCTGGGAGACCTGTCCACAGGCTCTGCAGCTTCTGCAGGCTGACAGGTCTCACTGAGCCTCTCCGAGGGATGGAGGCTGTCAGAGATAGCTGAGGCTCCTGGCAGGATGGACGTTCTCTGACAGCCGGAGCTTCTTGCATGGATGGCGGGTGTCTGCTGGTGTGCCATCCTTGCAAGGCTTGAGGCTCTCCCAGGGGTGGACACTCTTCCTGGGAGCTGCCTCTCCATGGGATGGGGGCTCCTGGAGGAGCTGGGCGAGCCACAGCAGGGCAGGTGGCCTCGCTTCACCAGCTCCTGCAGTTCTTCCCACAAGGCCTGCCACATCCCAGAGTAGAGCGGCACAGATGTCCCATTGCGAGCCCAGAGCAAGCTCATCAGTTCCTGCAGCTCTCGGGCCACTGCCACGCAGGGGCCGCAGCTGCAGGAGCTGCCCAGGGGGCTGGCGGGAGCACCTGGCCGCTTGCGAGGGGTCGCCCGAGGCCTGCGGGGCCTGGGAGCCGCAGGGGCTCCTGGCTTCCTCCAGGTCCTGCCTCTGGGCCGGACTCCGGGGCGCTTGCGCCTCTTGGCCGTCCTTGTCTGCCGCCTCCGTGGCTGCCAGTGGCCGATGGCCCAGCAGACAGCCGCGGCGGCCAGCAGCAGGACAAGCACAGTCACGAGCACGTCACCGTCACACATGGCTCCGGCACGTCCCATCGCGACTGCACTGGCAGCCGCAGGGGCTGGCCCGGCTTAAGTAGGCATGATGATGTCACAGTGCTGTGGCATGACAGGCGTGTGACATCACAGCCCTGCCAGCCCCACCCCAGCGCTCCCCAGTGCCACGGGAGGGAAAAATGGGCTCCCTGTGGGCACTTGAGAGCCCTCTGGAGCACATGGTGGATGGAAGACGCTTGTCTAAGCAGCACACAGGCATGAGGAGGGCAACGGTGATGGTGTCACCTCCTTGCTGGCACTGCAAGGGACAGGTCATGTCCAATGGGACGCTGACAAGTCCCCGAACAGGGCAAGCCCTGCTCAGCAGCAGCTAAAGCATCTGTGTGCTATCCAGTACAGTCCCAGCCTCAATCCAAACCCAGCCGTGTGCCACTCTCTGGGAAGAAAACGGATCCTATCCCATTGAAAACCAGTCCATCAGTCAGTTCTACACCCAGCACGGCCTGTCCCTGCTCATCTCGCACCTGATGGAGAGAGAATCCAGAAGGATTCTCGGATGGACACAATCAAAACTCCCCTTAAAATCCTCAAATAAAACCTGCATTGCCTTCCCATCGCCCACGAGCCAGGTGACCTCATGGCAGGGGGATAATCAATCAGGTAGACAGGAATTTCCCTCGGCTATCCCATGCTGCCCATGGCTGACATTGGTGTGTCCTTCCATCACTTCCCAGTCCTGCCAACCATGACCATCCCACCATTTTTCCTGCTGTCAGGATTAGATTGGAAGGGTGGCGTTTCCTGGACAGTTCCAAGCCCTTGCTGTCAAGTCAGATACAGCTGGAGAACACTGAGGCAGCACGCACCTCCTTGGGCTTTCAGCACCTTGGGGAGATGATTTAGGGGGATCCTGCTGGGACATACTGGCATGAATCCCATCCACCACCACATCTCATGGGTATTGTTCTGGTCCAAGTTGTCCCCAGCAATCCCAAATGCAAGGTCACTGTCCCTCACGGCACTGTGCCTCCCCTGCTGGACCCCCTTCAGCGCCCAGAGAAGCCAGTGGTACTTGGCAGAGCCAAAGTCTGTGGCACAAGGACACTGGGATCAGCTAAAAGCAGAGAGCTGAAGTGCCACAGGATTCTGCCACCCTGAGTGGCTCAGCCTGTGCTGAGAGGATGCTTTGCACGGCTTTGGGCATCGGGGTCCTGCTGGCCCCGGTGGGCCGCAGAGCCACGGAGGGCAGAGCTGCATGTCAGACACCCACAGAGAGCCTGGGAGACCTTTATCTGCATGGGCACTGTGGCTGCTGTGCCTGTGAGGTCCGTGAGGCCCATGGCAATGGCCTTTACACTGTTGACTAACAAAACCATCATCAACCATCGTTATTTATTTATTGGCTGCACACCCCCCACACACCTCCCTCCTCACCAGAAGCACTCAGTGTGCGTGTCAGGTTCTGTAAATGCAAAGAAAGATGGTCATTCCAAGCACAGCGTCTCTCATCCTGGAGAAAAGGAGGCTCAGAGGGGACCTTCTCTCTCCTCACAATTCCCTGAAAGGAGTAGGCCCCAGACAGTTGGCCGAAGCCAGGAAACCGCTCGGCAAGGCACAGAAGGCCAGAAGAGCAGCCCAAGCCCTCGAAGGCCTGCCATGCCTAGGGGCCGGGGCCTGGCTTTTGCAGCCCCCCTCTGCCGGCAGAGCCGGCAGCCGGCTCCTGGGGCACAGCATCTGCCCCAGGGTGGCACAGGGCAGCCGGCAGCCGGCTGAATGCCGCACCCCACAGCCCAGGAGGGAATGGCACAGTGCAGGGCCTGGCACCGGGAGCAGGGCCCGGGCCGTGGGCTCACCGGCATATTGCGTGTAGGCCTGCTCTTGGAGGAAGGTGCCGCAACCGAAGTCGATGAGCTTCAGGTCGCCACTCTCCGGGTCCACGAGGAGGTTCTCCGGCTTGATGTCCCGGTGCAGGACGCCGCAGGCCGTGCAGTGCCACACGGCCTCCAGCACCTGCCGGAAAAGCCAGCGTGCCGCCTCCTCGCTCAGGACCTCCTGCTCCAGCAGGAACTCCAGGAGATCCTGAGATCGCTCCGGGCGCTCCAGCACCAGCACGAAGCTGTCAGGCAGCTCGAACCAGTCCAGGAGCTGGATGATGCTGTGGCAGCCAGAGCCCACCTTCTCCATCAGGGCAATCTCCATGGGAACACGGATGCCGTCGGGCTGGGGGAACGAGACAATGCCTCCAGCAGGCCTGGTGCCGCCCTGTGCCTCCGCTGCCCCCTGCCCAGCATGTCCCAGTGCCCCCTTGGGCAGCCTCCCTGCTGCTCGGGATCCCTCCCGCCCAGGGCATGCCGGGCAGCTGCTCCCCTGCCTGGACCCAGCCCCGGTGTTCGGCGTCCCCGGGCCCGCCGTGTTCCGCCTCGCACGCCGAGCCCATGCCCGCTCAGCCCCCGCCACCCCCTGCCCCCGGGGCCCCGGGCTTATCCCTGCCCACGCCGGCCCGCTCCAGCCCGCTGGCCCCGCTCACTCACCCACTCAACCCACTGCAGGACGCTCTCCCGGGCCAGGCGCTTGGTGGCCACCTGCAAGCCATGGACACAGGGGGGCTGAGCTCAAGCCCTGCCCGGCCCCGGCCCCGACCCTCCGGCCACGCCCGGCCGTGCCGGCCACTTACCGGGCGGCCGTCCGAGAGGCGGGTCCCCGAGAAAACGGTGCCAAAGCCACCGCTGCCCAACTGCGGGCCCAGCTGGTACAGCTCCTGCAGCTCCTTCTTTTGCCCTGCGGCCAAGAGCGAGCCATCAGCCCTGCGCCCAGGGCCCCCAGTGCCCGCGGGTGAAGCGGGCCGGGCCGCCGCGGGCACGGCGCTCTCACCTGCTTCCTGCTGCGCGCCGGGCAGCGGCCACCGCCTTGCAGCCGTCGAGCTGGCGAGCGGCACGGCGGGGCCAGGGCAGCGCGCACAGGCGGCTGCAGGAGTTCTGCTGCAGCGGGGCACGACGGCACCGTCGCTGTCCCCGGCCTCCTGCGCTGGACCCTGCTCTGGTGCAAGGCCGGGGCTGCAGCCCGAGGTGTGGCACAGGGGGGTCCCAGGAGCAGCTGCAAACCACACAGGGGTTTTTTGAAGCCGTGCCATCAGAGGCACTGAGAACAGCCAGGGATTAGGCTGCTCTCAGAGGCCCTGGCCTGGCCTGGCCTGGCCTGGCCTGGCCTGGCCTGGCCTGGCCTGGCCTGGCCTGGCCTGGCCTGGGAATGCCCCTCACGAGCCCCGTGGGAGCCGCAGACGGCTCCTCAGAAGATCTCACCTTCTACTGGGGCCTTCCTGCTAGTCGGTGGCTGTCTCCTCGCTCAGGACCTCCTGCTCCAGCAGGAACTCCAGGAGATCCTGAGATCGCTCCGGGCGCTCCAGCACCAGCACGAAGCTGTCAGGCAGCTCGAACCAGTCCAGGAGCTGGATGATGCTGTGGCAGCCAGAGCCCACCTTCTCCATCAGGGCAATCTCCATGGGAACACGGATGCCGTCGGGCTGGGGGAACGAGACAATGCCTCCAGCAGGCCTGGTGCCGCCCTGTGCCTCCGCTGCCCCCTGCCCAGCATGTCCCAGTGCCCCCTTGGGCAGCCTCCCTGCTGCTCGGGATCCCTCCCGCCCAGGGCATGCCGGGCAGCTGCTCCCCTGCCTGGACCCAGCCCCGGTGTTCGGCGTCCCCGGGCCCGCCGTGTTCCGCCTCGCACGCCGAGCCCATGCCCGCTCAGCCCCCGCCACCCCCTGCCCCCGGGGCCCCGGGCTTATCCCTGCCCACGCCGGCCCGCTCCAGCCCGCTGGCCCCGCTCACTCACCCACTCAACCCACTGCAGGACGCTCTCCCGGGCCACGCGCTTGATGGCCACCTGCAAGCCATGGACACAGGGGGGCTGAGCTCAAGCCCTGCCCGGCCCCGGCCCCGACCCTCCGGCCACGCCCGGCCGTGCCGGCCACTTACCGGGCGGCCGTCCGAGAGGCGGGTCCCCGAGAAAACGGTGCCAAAGCCACCGCTGCCCAACTGCGGGCCCAGCTGGTACAGCTCCTGCAGCTCCTTCTTTTGCCCTGCGGCCAAGAGCGAGCCATCAGCCCTGCGCCCAGGGCCCCCAGTGCCCGCGGGTGAAGCGGGCCGGGCCGCCGCGGGCACGGCGCTCTCACCTGCTTCCTGCTGCGCGCCGGGCAGCGGCCATCACGCCTGTGGTCAGCTGCTTTGTGCCATCATGTCCCTTCCTCACCTCAGGGATCAGCCGAACAGACTCATCTCTGAAGTTGGATATTTTCAGAAAAAGCCTGGATGCATGGACTTAAGACTGTAGCTCAGCCTGGTAGGGTCAATTATACCCTGGAGCTAGTGGCAGGACATCGGGAATTTTGGTGGTTCCACCAGTGTCAAGCCCCCAGCTCTTTAGGACGTTGAAGTGATACCAACTTCACACAACCTCTATTCTTCGCCTGAGAAGATCCTCCAGAGACAAAGGGCGTTGAAGTTTCTCTGTCTCTGGGGAGCTCTCCTGAAATAGGTGTCCACGGCTAGAGTAGTTTTTTGTTAGCAGCTCACTGACTTCTGGAACACCTCTCTTCTAAATAAATCAGGTTTTCCCAAAGAGTGCTTATTGTGCTCCGTCTGCTCTTGTTTTGACTGCAGTAGTTTTCCTTTCTTCCCAATAGCTGACACATGCTGGGATTGGATTCAGGGTGGGAATTCTGTGGATCAAACAGGACTGGTTTGCTTGCTGCTGACTAGGTCTTGCCCTCTTCGTGGACTTTGCAGTGTCCCTTGGTAGAATGAATGTTTTCCACTCCGAAGTGAGGGATGAGTGTTGAAGACAGAGGCAAAGAATGCATTAAACACTTGTACCATGTCTCTGTTCCTGTTTGTGAGGTGACCATCCACCTCCTGAAAAGGGACAATGTTATTTTTGCAACATTTCTTTCCTTTGGCGTATTTAAAATTATTATTTTTATTGTGCAGACATTTCTGGCCGCCTTCATCTCCACTTGAGCTTTCACTGCACCAGATTTCTCCATTCAGTGGCAACAAGCATCCCTATATTCTTCTCCTGATCTTGATTCCACTGGGCACACAGCTTCCTTTTCCATCCTCTTTCCCAGAAATGATGCCTCTTCAGGCAAGCCAGCCTTATAACTTGCCTGCTTAGTTTCCAACATTTGGGAATCGCCTGTTCCTGTGACCTTACAAGGTGATTTTTCAAACGTGACCAGCACTGAAGGATGCCAGCACCTGCAAAAATATTTTCCCTAGGGACCTTGCTTACCAGTTCCCTGAGCAGTCCAAAATCTGCTCTCCTCATGCCCTAAGCTGAAGTTTTGCTGGTCCTTTTCATCTTGTCAGAGGTTTAAAACTCAATTTGTCTGTGGTTGCTGTGGCCAAGATGGCCACCAGTCCCCACTGGCTGAGGGCAGGTGGGGCTCAGACTGCAGCCTGGGTATAGGGGCCTGAGCTGGAGCGTCCTGAGCTCTGGGGGGATCCCCCTTACCTGGGGGGAGGCTCCCTGGGCAAGAAAAAGGGTCTGGCATGAGCCAGGAGGGCTCTGGCCAAGGAACAGTAGAGAGGATGTGGCCACAGCAGATGGTGTCTGAGAGGAGCTGTGGGAAGGAGTGGCTGTGGGAAGGAGTGGCTGTGGGGCTGAGCTAAGGGAGGGTGTTCCCCCAGCCCAGCAGGCAGAAAGCAGGAGATGAGTTTCTGGTTACCAGGAACAGCTTCCTCCCTCACCAGGGCTCCCAGCCTCCCACAAGAGTTGGTTATGGCATGAGTGCTGCCCTCCCCATGGGAACAAGGCTGGACACCCTAAAAAGGGGGGTCAGCACCCCAGAGGCAAAGCCAGCGCATGGGTGAGTGAGTGTGATGAGTGTGAGAGAGCCACCTCTACCCCTCCCGACCCACACCAGGGAGCAGGGACCTTCCTGGTGAAGATCCAGGAGGATATCCAGGACCATCTTTGCCTGGGATGGTGCCAAGGAGATCCAGGAGGGATCAGTGTCCATCTCTGTGTCCTGGGACACCCTGCACCATGTTCCCCACAGCCCCGATTTTCAGGAAGGAGCCAGAGGAGCATCCTGGCTATTGATGGAATTTTCTTCCAAGAATTTGCTGTGGAGCTTATTTCTCTTTTTTATTTTTTCCTCTTTCAGAGCTCCTGTAAACATGGCACAGAGCTAGAAGGAGGGCAGCGGGGGGCAGAACACACAGCCGGGGAACTCTTGAAGGGTTCTATGTCTCTGGCACCCTACTTTCCTCCTCTCCCTTTCCTGTAGGTGTGGGCTGGGACGGAGCATCTTTCCTGGGGGGTCACGGTGCCCTGGATCCCTGCCCTGAAATCGGGGGGCAACACCGGGCATCTCTGCCCTTCCCCACGCAGCCAGGGTGTCCCACAGAGCTCCTCCAAAGCCCTGCTCTTGGCCGCCAGGGCGTTAATGAATGAGGTATTAATGAAGGAAGAACTAAGGACATCAATTGAGGAGGGAGCCGCTCCGAGCCGAGGGGGCGCGGTCTGAACGGGGGCGGGGCCAGCGCTGAGGGGAAAAAAGGCGGGAAATGGCTCGGGGCTGCTGAGGGGAAACGTCAGGAAGGAGGGGACAGAGGGATATTGGTACGGAAAAGGGAGACACAAGAGCTCTTAGCGGCTTGAAACTGCTAACAGTGGCTGGGGAAAGCCCAACACACTCTCCCCTGTGTACCCCAGCCCCTTACAAAGGCTAAAATCCAGGAAAAACAGTGCTATGGATGCAAGGAATCAGAAGCAGGATCTGTGTGCAGAGTGTCCCTCACGAGAGGAGCCTCAATGGAAACCAGCGAGGCTGGGGCAGGAGGGTCAGCATGAGCAGAGAAGGGGGATCCTCTGTCCATGACAAGGCCCAGGACAGCCCTGTCCTGGGAAGTCTGCAGGCAGGATCCTTGAGCCGCTGCATGTTTGTGCTGCCCTCGCTCAGCCCAGAGCCCCCTCACTGCCAGGGGTAGCTGGTGGCACTGGGGAGTGGGAGAGGAAAAGAGGCAGAACACAAGGATCTGTCCTACACCCACATGGACTGGGATGTCGTGTTCATGGGCTGCACCAAAAGGCTGCCCTGTTGGGAAAACAACCAGAAACCTCCAACAACATCCTAATTTACTGTTCCAGAAATAGAAAAATCCCAAACATTAATTACAAGGGGGATAATTGACTATCTCCTCAGCATCTGGAGATCCATTAACTAAAGGCAGTCATGATTTTCCTTCAGGTCTCCTCCCTCAGGACCAGTAAAACAGGTGGTGGGATTAAACCCTTCCCTACTTCTTCATTCCAGATCATCCCATTCCATGAGAGGCACTTTTCCTCAGCAAAGTCGTAACTTCATGTGAGGCTTTCAGAATTGGAGAGCTGTCTGCCATGTGCACTTATCAATAAAGCCGTGGCTCCACAAATTTGCACACAATGCCTTCTCTGGGTGCCAATGAGCATCTAGCAGTACAACCACAATACCGTGAGAGACAGGGACCTTCCATTTGGGATTGCTGGGGACAACTTGGACCAGAACAATACCCATGAGATTTCGTATTGTGCAGCGGCGGCTGACCTTTAGGTA